CACACAGGAGCTCTTTCAGGCTGGGCACCGTTTCATTCACAACACCTGTCCCATCAACCAGGAATCAGAATCAGGAATACTTTAATAATCCCAGGGAGGAATTACTTTCGCTACATGACTCCATCTGTAATAGAGAGACTATAGGACCAGTTTGATGTAACACAATTTCATACAATATATATAATTAGGGGGGCCCGCTCCATCTCGCCATCAGTTTGGGGGTCCTTGGCCTGGAAAATGTAGAAGACCCCTGCTTTAAGTTAAAAGAATAGCTTGATTAAACTAAGACCAAAGCAGTGGCGTTTCGTCGAGACTGCAGATAATTGCATTTTATTCACTTGGATGTCAAGTTTAAGCCATCGAGATAGGAATCATTTGGGGCATTTTTCTGCTGTACATCTCAGGGCGGTTAGGTCTAAAGGTCACAAATTAATGGATGGATAGATTCTTTAGGATTTTCTGCCATAGAGAGAATTTATGGTTCAGTTTTTGACTTGCACAAGTCTAGAAGAAGCAAGGCAGCCCCAGATCATCAAAGTACTTGAAATCTATCCATTTATCTACAAAATAAGTGTTTGTAATTAATTTATAATAACACCCAATTGGTGAATCTAGTTAGAGAGATTTTTATTTATTTATTTTTTAATTACACCAAATAAAATGAACCCGTTTTTTAAAGAACTACCTTTAAGAACTAATAACGCTTTTATTTTGAAATCCAAACCCGGAAACTGTGAATCGATTAGATTTCACTTAACGATTACATTGTTTGAGGAAGTCCGAGACAAACGAACCTGTCACGGAATAACTTGGTGTTATGTGTTAACACAAGTGCCTTTATGTCATTCACATTAATCCATGTGTGAAATAAATAAAAGTTAAAATTTGACTGCGAAACAGTTCGACGGCGATAAAATAAAGAGCGACGCTTGTAAATGAGCAGAAACGCTCGCAGCTGTCGCTTCTCTCCGTCAGAAACGTTATTTCCTGAAGGCTCCGCTTAAATCCTTAGTATCCAATCCTATATATCCCATCTTTAAAGTCGCGCGACAGACGTTACAAAATAAATTCAAAAGTAGGTTAACCTTCATGTACTGACAGACACTTTGCACAACCACCCCCCCACCACCACTACTATTAATGTAGGAGATAACTGAGGGGGGGACTTACCTGAGAGTTGGGGGGCCATGGGCGGCTGTTGAGCGGAGGTTTTAGTCGGTGCAGTGAGGATCAGCGGGACGGAGCGACAGGAGCGTCAAGAGCCGGAGCCGCCATGTTCATCTGGCTCAGAGGTTCCTCGGCTGTTTATCTTTACTAGCAGACCCCCTCCTCCTCCTCCTCCTCCCTGCACCTCCACCTCCTCCTTTCTCATTTCACTACCACCTGCAAGGACCTCAGTTTCATTTCCCAACTCAATGAAACTGTTTGAAAGAGTTTGGGGAAAACATTTTCTTTTAAGGCTTTCATCATAAACTAATGAAAAGTATATATTTTTATAATGTATAATTCCCTTTAACCACAAGGGACTGCTGTGGACCAGGGGCGGATATAGGTAATTTGGGGCCCTAGGCAAAGACAGGCAGGGGGCCCTCTGAACTAAGAAGAGAACACATAAAATAGACCCATTATGCAGTTAGAGAAATGTTACTCTAAGCTCACTGAGCTCATTGCTCCTTCCCGTGTTTCCAAATATGTGACGGCAAAAGTAAATAACCCAGTCCTTCTTTTCACTGTAGAAAAGCCATGATCTGCTTATCTGTTCTCCGTTTTTTAATTTGGATGAAATAATAGCTGCATGGATCATGACAGCAGACATGATAGGGGAGAGCAGGAGGCGGGGTTACCAATCTACTTGCTCTGGAGAGAGTTCGCTGCTTTTAGATGTTGTCACCAAAGTCTCCGTAGCAGAAAAAAAGTCACTAGATTTGGCGCTAGGCGCTTTTTTAAAATCAAAGTGCTAGAGGGTTCTGAAAAGTCGCTAAATATAGAGACGAAGGCGTTAAGTTGGCAACACTGCTCTTTGCATCATTTGTTTACAAATGATTTGCTGCTGTCTGTTTGGACCTTTCTGAACATGTGCAGCAAATGGACTGATCCAATATGGTGAACACTGAAGCCCCCCTTCAGTGTTCAGCATTCTGATGGCATTGTAGCAAAAGGATTTTTATAAAAAAAACATTATTAATGTGCACAAATAAGGACTAGTTATATTAACCATACATGTAAAAGGAGTTTTATGGGGCCCCCAGGAACTTGGGGCCCTAGGCAACTGCCTAGTATTGCCTAATGGTAAATCTGCCCCTAGTGTGGACATGTCCCTACCAACTTTGGCCTGGTGTGGACATGTCCCCACCAATAATTTCAATAGACTTTGGCTCTCAGCAATATGTGGGACAAAATTCTAAATTTGATTTTTCTGGTTTTGAAGGAGGATAATGACTGAACTAGCTGAAAGGGAAAACATCCAATCAATCATTCTAATTCTGGGTGGATTGATGAATGAAACTGAAATTATGTGCATACTAGGGAGGCATGATATATTGCTGTTGGCATTGGAATTAACTGTTATTGATCCTTTTTTTTTTTATATATACATTAATGTCTAACTATCCATAAATATAAATATCAGTTGATTTTGCTTCTCTTGTGTTCTCAACAATTGGAAAGCATTCAATAAATATATGTTTGAGCTCAATTTTGGAAAATACAAACCCTATTGAAAGCCTTTGTGTGGAGTAAATGTAAGTCCATCAGCCCCCACCCTTAGAGTGTTCCCACCAACTTTCATCACACCAGTGAAAATCAAAATGTCAAGCCAACAGTGGTATTGGAATCCAGGACAAGACCTTATCACGTTTGTAAGACTCCAAAAAAATATGGATATTTTGATGACAAAAATGTGTGTGTGGGGGGGGGGGGTACTCCATTTCTAAGAGGTATGCAAGTGATTAAAAATGGTAACTTGCCCTATTGTCTTTTACACCATTACATCTATATGATGCTATTATAACTCATCTAGTTGAAGCTCGGAAACCACTAAGGCAGAATTTTCAGATGATTCTGTAAAACATTAAAAGAAAAATAAAGACCCACTAGGAGAGCCACAGTATATTCTGCAAGTCCCTACAGTATAATGTAAATCATAACTGGTTCCATAAAGGTCAAGCTAGGGTGTTGCAACCAGTTGCAATAGCAATAAATATACCACACTCAAAAGGTCACACTGTAAGTTCCAGTTAACCATAAGGAAATAATGTCTGCGTATGTACAAACTGACACACATTTACATTTTATCTAGATCTTTGCATTTACATGAAGAAATGTAGATAAATAAACAAAACTTGAAAGAGCACTTCCTTATAATTCCATAAAGAAAAACCATGGAAGATCAGACAGACCTTTTGGGAGGTTTAAGGAACAATTAGAGGACTTCCTATAACACTTAAAATGATTTCAACCTTCCTACAAGGAACCTTTAGGGAACTTTTGAATTCCCTAAAGCCACTCCAAGGAGTTGCAGAACAAAAAAACAAAAAAAATCCCCATAAAGTCACTGTCCTGAAGTCTTAAAACCCTAAGGTAATGTTCCCTCTAGTCGTTTGAGCTCATACGTGAAAGTTCCCTCAGGGTCATTTACAAAACATTTCCTAAAAGTCAAAGAAAAGATGCAAGCAGCCTACACTCCACTCTGAACAACCACCTTACAAGCCTTTAAGGAACGTTATCTCAAGTTCCCCACGTCACTTTAGAACATTCCTTGAAATATAAAGCACTGCTAATGTTGCAATTAGTTCAGTAAATTAGCCTAAAAGCCACGCTGTAGACAGTATGTTACAAACAAATGTCAGGGAACCTTTTAAGAAATGTTCATTAATTTCCCCTAAAAAGATGATATTGAGATGCTGCAACCAAACTTAAGGGAACCATCCTTTGAGGAGGGAACCTAGAGGCAGGGAATGCTTGCTAAAACTTTCCTAAAGGTAAACCTGAAAGATGGAACCTTTAACAGACACTAAAGGTTCACTCTAGGTAAAATCCAAAGCTAAGGTTTTTACAGGTAACCTTCAGAAAAAGTTCCCAGATGTTGAAAGTATCTGTTCAAACTTAAATTTCCCATAAGGTCAGGACATAATTGGTTTAAATAAATTTAAACGGATATGGAAGCTTTTTACCTCCATGCTATGAATGCTAGATCTAACCCCCAGATGAATATTTACCAAATGTTCTCTCTTAAGTCTCTTAAAAGTCCTGTATTTACCTTTCACAGTGCCTTTTTCGAAACACTATCTAAAGGTCATGTAACAGTTTAAAGAACTACCGTATCATTTTAAAGGATATTGCAATTGCAATTAACCTTCAAGGAACCTTTAAAGAGCACCAAGTTCCCTGAAGGTCAGACTGTAAAAGTGGTAAATGTTAGGGAACCTTTGCTACAGATAATTTCTGCGACTGGATATATCAAACAGCACAGCTGGTTTTTACTTTTACACAGCTTTTCTTTGCATCATTTCCAATGTTCTGCACGCATCGGTCGATAAAGCCGTTCATAAGAACATTAAGTTCCCAGTCAAATGCAAAACTGGTTTGTGTTCCAGTAACTCAGAAACAAAGGAAGTTCCAATACGGTCAGGCTGCATCAGTGTAATTAGTCAATATAGAAACAGATGAGAGCCACAGTGGGGGGTGGGGTGGAGGGGGGCAACCGAAGCTCAAAGGGTCACACAAAAACAGGAACTTATGAGAGAAAACTGAAAGAGGAGTCTATTTAGTAAGCATTCACAATTATCAAAATTATATTAATCTTTTTAAATTCCAAATTTGTTTCATTTTTATTTATAAAATATTTAGGCAACAATGAAAACATGCATCAAAGACACACAAAGTATGGTCCAACATAAATTTATAATTAATTTCATTAGGAAAAAACAATATGTGTAATCTTTTTGAAAGACTAGATAGATTTTTTTTACATTTATGATTGCAGTTGACAGGTTTTTTTTGCAGATGCTGCCACCTAGTGTCTGCATGGAGTAACCACACCTATTCTGCACAGATTTGACTGAAGTGTTGGAGGAGAAATCCACCTGTCAACGTTTTTAAGAGCTGTAAAAAGTGCACCTATATGAAGGCATACAAAAAACATAATTCAATGCAACGTGTTTAAACTAATATACATTCTTGTTCACATGTTTCAATCAGTCTTACAATCATAACTTCATAATGTGATCCTGTGCGTTTAATAAACAGACTCTCACATGTTGTCCAGTGAGATTTCTTTGATTATATGACGTAGTTTGTCCATTTCAGGGTTGCTGGACATCATAGGTTACTTCTCCACTTGCTGTTAGTTGTAGAGTCCAGCACTGGGGGACACACCTTTGCATTAGCATGCAAGACCAAACTAAATATGTTTCATGAATTTCTGCAGAAGAGAAGTTGCTCAAATACCAAAAGTGATCCTGGCTTCTTTCTCCAGTTTCTTCAGGTGATGAACCAGGTTGACATTTGCAGCCTGGTGCAGGTATTCAGGAGTGTCCTGGAGAAAAACAGGAGTGGAAACTAAATGTCATGTTTCTGTGAATACAGAGCAGATTAAAGGTCAAAGAAGAGGCCATTGAGATTTGTATAGTTGAAGGTAGGCAGTCCATGTTCAGATACTAATCCCTTTTAATACGCTGCATTTAAATGGACACTAAAGAGTATGCAATTAACATCTTTGCTTACTTATGACAATAAATTAAATAGACATACAGTAGAATACTATTATAACTGTAAAATATGTTAAAAACAGCAGCAGATTTAGTAAAATATGGGGCCCTAGGCAAAGACAGGCACGGGGCCCTCTGAACTGAGAAGACAACATAAAACAGACCATTATACAGAAATTTGAATAGAATAGACATCCATTATCTGTTCTACATTTTGTCCCTCTCTTCTTGTCCCTTTTCTTGTTGTTTTCCTCTCTATGTTATGTAGTCAGCTGAATTTTCCCGCTGTCTCAAAAGGTATGAAAGAATTTTTTTTTTCCAATCACTAGATTGCTCGTTCCTGTGTTTCAAAAAAGGCGACGGCAAAAGTAATTAACCCAGTCCTTCTTTTCACCGTAGACAAGCCATGATGTGTTTTTCTGTTCTCTGTTTTTCATTTGGATGAAATAATAGCTGCATGGATCATGACAGCAGACATGATAGAGGAGAGCAGGAGGCGGGGTTACCAATCTACTTGCTTTGGAGAGCAGAGTTCGGTGCTTTTAGATGTCACCAAAGTCTCCACTAGCAGAAAAAAGTCGCTAGATTTGGCGCAAGGCACCTTTTTGAAATAAAAGCGCTAAAGGGGTCTGAAAGTCAATAAATATAGAAACAAAAGCGGTAAGTTGGCAACACTGCTCTTCCCATTGTTTTCAAATGGTTTTCTGCTGTCTTTTAGGGTTAGGGTTGACACACTTAATATTATTAATATAAAGTGTTCTGATGTTCTAACAAAAGTATTTTTATCAAAAACAATTAATGTGCACAAATAAGGAATAGTTGTATTAACCATACATGTAAACAGAGTTTTATGGGGCTCCCAGGAACTTGGATTCCTTGGCAACTACCTAGTATTGCCTAATGGCTAAAATACAAGAATTTCTAGGTGAATTTTCATTTAAATTAAATAACTCGGAAACTTTGCTTTGAATTCTTGTAAAAATACTGTGCTGTTTCAACTAAATAATAATGCCACTTATCCAAAGAAGACTGAGTTTTTCTTAAGCTACGTTCACACTGCAGGCCTTAATGCTCAATTCCGATTTCTTTGTGAAATCCGATTTTTTTGCGTTGCCGTTCACATTTCCAAATATATGCGACTTGTATGTGATCTCCTGTGTGAACTGCAGTCATACAACGCAAGGGTCCCGCATGCGCAGTAGAGGATGCAATGACGTCACAGGCCAGCGTGCTCTGTGTTTACGAAAGTAAACATGGATGGTAGCGCCGGCGCGCATCAAGCGGTCTTTTCCAACCATAAAAACACAATCTTTTCAAGATGGTTAAACATAAATACTGCTCTCCGTATCAACATCTGCCATGGTTGTTGTTTTTCTTGCCGCTTCAGCGTAGCAAGACGCAGAATAGTGACCTTTGTCGGGTATTAATGACGTTCAAGTCGGATGAATCCGCCGTTTAGACACAGGTCGCATTTGAAAGGTTCAGATTCGTATTGGATCCAGGACCACATAGCCAAGTGACCTGGGTCGCATTGGAACAAATCGGATCTGTGTTGTTCAGACAGCCATGAAAAGATCAGATCCAGGTCGCATATGGGCAAAAAAATTGGATTTGGGCCACTTCAGGCTGCAGTGTGAACGTATCCTTATTAAGGGTTAAACTGATTCATTATAATGAGAACAACAACTCACACCTGTGTTCTTTAAACACCGTAATAAAAAGCTTCTAAAGAGGCGGAAGGTTCTTTCTGACCTTATAGACAATCTTTACAAGCTCCATGGAAGAAAAAGGCTTTCCTGCTCCATCCTGAATAGCTTTCAGGATCTGCTGTTCTCTTTGGTCTCGGTGGCTGATGTAGTGTTTGATCTTGGCGCCAGCATCCTGCACCACAGGCCCGTGTCCTGCACAGGAACACGAGGACAAAAAAGATCAGAAAACCGTACAGAAAGCATACGGTCTTTTATCTCCCGCTGGTGTGTGGACTGAGCTGCATTCAGTATATTGGGAAATTTTACAACAAAGAATTAGAACATTAGCTGCACCACAAAATGTAAAGCGAACCCCTAGAAAGGCTGCAAGATATCAGGAAAAAAATCAAACTGAAATGTGTAATACGTTTATGACAATCTCATATGGTAACCCAGATTTTAATAATACACCCTCCTCTGTCCTACAAATCTCTCCACTGCTTCTTTTAGGCCTAAGGATCATGGGCAAAAAAACAGTTTGCTGAGGGTTATATTACTGATAATCAGATTTTTATTACTTAAAAAACAAGTGAACTAAGCAAACAAAGGTTGTCATAAAGGGGTGACCTGACATCTAAAAGAAGGAAGCAACACCTTTTTTTTTCTCCATTTAACTTCTTATGTTAGTTGGATGAATGGAATAGTAAACTCGATTGTGAAATTCAAAGCCAGAACACTCTGGACTCAGAGACAAAATGTGTACACACTGCTGGTCAGGAATCAGAATACCAGAGGGGTCATTTCATAAAACTCGCTCAGAAAATTCAGACTTAGACGCTTGATTCTGACTCAACTCTCTGGCACAATGTGTAAAGCCGTGATCACTGGGTTACAAAAGGAAAGCCTTGATTGGGTAATGTCACTAATTCAATACAGGTTCAACTAATCATTTCTACTGCCATACTGTAGCAGCCATTTAAAATAACCATTCCCAGTCAAACATCAGCCAAATGGCATCCCACTTCCCTGCGCCTCCCAGCAAAATCTCCTTCAACTTCAAGCCACTGAACTTCACCTTGGTGTGCATTTTTGTTTTTACTCTGACTCCACCATTTCATTGAATTACAGGGTCTGACCAGGAGATGATGCCTCTCTTTGGATCTCTAGTCAACTTTATTTATTTTTTTTCCAGTGGCCCTAATCCTGTTCCGTAGTTCCTTGATTATAAAAAAAAGTTGGGCAGTTAAAGAATTTGGTTACACTAAATTACTAAAAACAATCATACAGTTATGGCTCAAATCTCTCAAATCTTGTCTAAAACCATAACAAGGTTGAAGTTTTGGCCCATATTTCAAGAGAAACCAAAAAAAAAATAGGCCCAATTTTGTGTTGGTGGCAGCAGCATCCTGCTGTGTCAAAGTAGTGATCCAATAGCAATCCATTCTATCCAAAACCATCTGTAATCCAAGAAATCAAATCCAAGAAATTAAATCCAAGAAAACACCCTAACCAACAAAAGAAGAGTTCCAGCAAAAGAAAAAAAAAAACTGAAGCAAAAACAATTACTGAAAAATCCAGACCAGAATGAAAACCTGGCAGCAAATCTTAACGAATCTTCTGAACGAAGTTTTAGACAAGAAAACCTCTCAAAATCTGATCTATTTAAGGGAGTTTTGTAAGGTGGTGTTTAAAAAGTCAGTTTCTGTCGGATGAAATTTTTTTTTTGTCATGGACATAAGGCTGCATCTAATGATTATTTTACTAATTGATTAATCTGTTAATTATTTTTTCGATCAATTGAATAATAATCAGAAAGCGAAGGGTTCCTTAAAGAAGATTTTTTTAGAGAATTAAACCAGGTGAAAATAAAACATTTAAGGATTAATCGAGTAATCGATCAATCACCATTAATCTAATGAATTGTTTTAGCCCTACATGGGAAACCAAAACAGTTAACTGTGACAAGTTCATGTTGACAGATGCTTTTTTAAGAGATAAATATGATTAGCAATCCTTTTTCTAACCAGTCTGTCTAATTCGACTATCATCTTTCCTTGCTTCCACCGCTAGATTCCACAATCCTGCTATTATCATTAGGCCTGTCTTATCCAGTCTTACTGATCTTTAATAATTAATTCAAGCTCAACTTTTTGCTACTGTTCCAGATTATATTTTTCCAAATACCCTTTGGTGTTTTTCCATCACATATGTTAAATTAAAAATCTTTAAAATAAAAAAATGCGAAACTTTAATAGTGCAGTGTTGGAATTTTAGATCCAGTATCCAGAAGAAAAATCAGTCCTTTTCAGTGCTACTTATTTCCTGTAGAAGCAAATCTCTGTCAGAATTATTTGTACAAGAAATAAAATTCATTAGCAGATTTTGGAATTGCCCTAAAAAAACTGCAGTTGCAAAAGCAATACATGCATGTAATCTATGATGTGCTAGCTACACTGTCACCACCCAGCAGCGCAGCGCTATCAGTATGGAGGCTCATTCAGGGATACTTAAGATATAAATGTGTTGTTGCTCACCGGGGTAAATCAGATCAGCCTGAGTGTCTAGTAGGATCTTTAGAGACTTCATGTAGTCGTAGAGATCCTCGAACACGGCCGTGCCCTCACCCAGGATGCAGTCCCCAGAGAATAACGCCCGTTCCTCCTCCAGTAGCAAGGCCATGTGGTCGTCAGTGTGGCCTGGGGTGAAAAGCACTCTGAAATATTGAAACTGGCTCTCAGAAATGCTAAACTGGCCTTTAAATTAAGCATTTTGTTATAACCTATTGTTGAAAAATGCCCAATTTGCTGATTCAAAGTGAAAAATGTGAACTGACTTGAGGGTGGCTCCTTCAGTCTGGATAACATCGCCATCTTTTAGGTAAGAATATGTCTTATTTCCTGCAGTCTCTGAGACTTTGACAGCTCGGGGCAATTTGCTGACCCTGACTTCAGATCCTGCAATAAGAAACAAACAAACAAACAAAACAGATTTCTTTGATTTCATCATGTTCAGTAAGAAATTATTCAGGAGTACGCAAAGACTCAGAATCAAACAACTTGGTCCTTTTTGGACTGACAGAAAAGAGCCTAACCTGTTATATCTCTGCAGATGTCTTCCACTCCACCGGTGTGGTCATGATGCCAGTGTGTGACGATGATCTCCTGGATGCTAGTGTTGAATTCTACCAGAGCATTTTTCAGGTTTCTGATGTATTCAGGGACAGCAGGTTCCCCAGTGTCGATAAGAACACGTCTGGAAAAAAAAGAAAAATCATTAAAAGAGACAAAGCATCTTTTTTTGCAGCACAAAGAGCTTTAATTCAGCAGATAACCCTGAATTACATAATAGATGTTACCAATTATACCAAAAATGACATAAGAGGAAAAAAACAGAACATGCTAAGCCAAAAACGTAATAGGCTGATTAATTATAACCCGACAGAGGTTTGAATTCAATTCAATTTCTATAGCGCCAATTCACATCACGTCATCTCAAGGAACTGTACAATTCACCAGATCATCCAGTCAAATTGATCCAAAGTTTTCTATCTAAGGAAAACCAGTTCATTGCATCAACTCAGTGACTTGAATGCAATCCCTCACACTAAGCATGCTTGTAGTGACAGTGGAGAGGAAAAACTCCCTTTTAACAGGAAGAAACCTCCAGCAGAACCAGACTCAGATGCAAAGAAATGCAAAGAAAACAAATGTAGAAACGTGTCCGATAGTGTGGATTTAAGATTCCAAACAAGCAAATTCATGTATCTTATGAGTGGAGTGGCACATTTATATTTTGATATTAAAAGTATGTCTGCCAGTTTAACCAAAGCCCCAGTCTAAAGACTCAGCCTCAAGCAGGTTTCCTTCTGGGTTTATTCTTTTTTTTTTAAACTCAATTTAAACTTCTAATCCTTTCTGACAGTTTCCTGCTAAAGTAAAACAGGCCACCATAGTTCAGTCTGGACAGATCATGTTCAAACAGAAAAATAAATCATAGTCTCATAATGACCAGAGCATTTCCTTATACAAGTTGTTGTATATCTGATCAGTAATCAACTATGCTTGAGAAAGAATGCAAACTGAAACTATTATTGGAAACATAAAAATGGCTTTCTACATGCCATATTTCTATGAGAACTCATAGAAATTACAGATCTGTCTTGTAAAATTGTCCAGCTGTGAAGCTCTGAAGGAGAGTTACCATGTACCATGTGCGACTTCTGCAGACATTTTACTGCCTTGGGTTTGATTTAGGTGCATCAGAGTAAATGGGCTGAATACATGTAAAAGACCTGCGCGGCAGACAGTGACAGTTCATAATATCTTTGTTTTAATTTTGCATGTCTTTCTGCAGCTTCCAATGAAGACATGTTCAGATCAATTTCCTTAAGGTTTGTTTCGGTGAGCATGAAGGAAATGTTAATCATAGATAGATAAAGTCACAAGATAAGAGCCAAAAACATACATTTATGTGTCTAGAGATAATAGTCAGCAGCAGTCAGTCACCTTTGCCCTGTTCCGACCAGATAAGTGTTGGTTCCCTGCAGGGTCATCGGTCCAGGGTTGCAGCCTAAAACCCGAACAACTCTGGCAGAAAGCTGCTCTATCCGAGGAATGATGGCGCTCATTGCTGCAGTGTTTACTATCCGTTAACAAATTAACAACGGTCGGCAGCAAAAAGGGCTAAAAACACCAGAAATCATTAAGCTCTCAACACCGGAAGCGCACCTTTTTACTTCCTGTAAATAAATAAACTTCAAAATAAAAGCGTTATCTTTACCATATGTTCGAACGGCTCGAAATAAAAAAATGAAAATATTAAAAATGAAACCAACAATATAGATAACGCAAACAGAAGGAAATAATTTAAAGGCATTGATGAAAACAGAAATAATGATACTATTTAACTTTTTATGGGGCTTTTAATATACCGAGTCATCAAGGGAGAAAACAAAACAAATATAATCAATAATCAATTTCGTTTTAATCAATATAAAACGTGTAAAAATTGGATACATTTGCATATAAAATATTTAAACCGACTCAGGTTTGGTTGAAATAGAAAAAGTAACAGGTTACGTTAGGTTCCTGTGACTATGTTTATTGGTTAAAGTGGTTTAATTGCTGTACCAACACACATATCCAATCATTTTTTTATTCCCTGTCAAAAATCAATACTAGACAACATATTCATGAAACGTTTTTTAGACAAAACAGTGTTTCTCTCACCCTGTCAGACATAAAATACATGAATCCTAAATTTATTTAAGAATCGCTCTTATGCATTCCAGGCAGCTGCTCCTAATTGAGGCTTTGGAGTCAATAAAACAATGGAAACACTAGGTGGCGCCATCTACTAGTTCTAACAGTTTACCTGTATTACCTTGTCCTCCTGCAAGAAATACTTTTATTAATCAAATGTATTACCACTGATAAACATTTAGAATAAATTAAAAAAAACTTCATGACAAAAATATGTTCCAAGTGAATTAAGGGCTAATGATGTCAATTCTCAAAACTTATGATTACAAACTTTTAACAGCTGAGAATAGTTCAATTAAGATGTATTAGTATTAAAGATATAGTGGAGGATTTTCGTGAATTTCTAAAAAGACTCACCCTTAAAAAACAAAACAAATCACAAGTACAACCATGTACCCGCTCCTGAGAGGAAATGCCTATTAAACGTGTGTGAGGGCGTGCACGAGCCCATCTCTCCTTGTGCATGCTGTGTTTAAAAGTTGCTGCTTGCATTGCTCATACAAGCTTGCTTTCCAAAAGAAGATTTGCAATTTTCCCACTATGTCAGACTCACCATGAAGAAATGGGGATGAGCACATCGGACGTCCTAACGTAAACATATCACCAGAATAATTGACAATTAGAAGGACCACTCATTTTGATGATCCAGTCGGAAAAAGACCATCCCCCACTATACCTCTAAGATAAAACTGATGCTGAAGGCTGCTGCCATAATGTGTCTACTCTATTAACCCGTTAATCGACAAATAACTACATACCCTGAGCAGTTTTGAATGCTGTATACTGTATTTCAAAACATAAATTCAATTATATTTTTTACTTTGTCAGTTAATAAGGGGTTTGATAAAAGCTCTGCTTTCTCTCTCTGCATCACAAAAAGCAACGCTGAAAACGACATTCAAGTCACATCGATATAATATTTCTTCCACTGTCGGTCAACTGCGTCACTGTATTCAAATTCTGTTAAAGAGAGCAAAAACAGAACTAAAGAAATAAGGTCATCATGCCATGAATTTCAACATTGCCAGAAAACATTAACTTCCACTATCAAGCTCCAGCTTTACTGTACGGTCAACCCAAAAATTCCAGACTCTTAAGCAAGGCTGTTTCATGGGAGATTTCTAACTGCTTGGTCTGATTTAGTTCTGGAACAGTTGAAATGGAAAGGATATAATGACACCAGCATTACCCTGAGAAGTTTCCTGTGGTAGAAGCAGACCCCTTTTTTTGGATATTTTGAGGTAATCATACCTGGATGTGTTGAGAGGGAATGAAGCAATAGATACAGTGTATGGTTGATAATAGGAGAAAATGATACAGTAGAAATGTATGTTATTATCTTACAGTGGTGTAATGCAGGGGTGTCAGTGGAAAAGAGAAAGAAAAGATAATACAGATACACACAGCTGTAAAAAAAATACTTTGATAAAATAGACTGTACAGCAAAGGGAAACATGTGTTTCAGAAAAGAAAATGCTAAATAGTCATTAAGAATGATATATACAGATCAAATAAAATGTGCAACACAAGAAATGTGCCTGGATGATACAAGATTAAAAGACAACAATGACAGCCTTTTTGCAGAAAACCTGAAAAACGATGCAAATAACATGGATGTAAATGGTTTGAGAAAGCTTTTTGCCCCACATACCAAATCAATTACAGAGATAAAGTTACGTTTCTTTACTTTCTTTTGCAGCTGACAAGAGGGGTTTGGTTTGTGACATGTAGACAGGCTTGAGTTCCAGTTTAGAAAGTGGAGGATTCAAGGAGGTTAGTAATGGTATGGAGATTAAACAGTCTAACTTCTGTGCCCTAGAGAGCGGACAGGGGCTGAGAGTTGCTGCCATTGACGAAGGATTAGAAGACAACCAAGGTGAAGATCCAGGAAAGGGTGATGCTTCGTAGATCTCATCCCGAGCAGCAGGAGAAAATCATCCTTTTCTTTTAATAGGTAGAGAGAGCTCAATAAGCAGAGTTAGGAAATGTGCAAACACTAAATTCTATTACACTTGCATATAAACTATTTTGGGAAAGACCTCTACTATTGGGAGCTGGAGAAGTACCACCTTCCTCCAGCAGAGTCCGCCGTGGATCCTCCGGAGCCGAGCCTCCTGCACAGCTGGGGCTCATTCCTTCATCAGAGGATCCACAGTATTTAAGCTGTCTTCAGACCTTGCCTCAACGCCGCAGTGTTGATCCAGTTGGTTAGCACCTAAGCCTAGTATCTCTGAGAAACTTTGTTGACTTTTGAATCCAGACTGGATTCTAACCTTTGTCTCTGTTTTCCAGGAAACCTGTTTTTCTCCTGTGAAGCTCAGGAAGAGCTAAACCTGCCGAGCCTGCCCTCTGAGCCAAACCTGAAGTCTCTCTCTGGATTCCCATGCAGCTCTGGACTAAGAGCTGGAAACTCAAAAGCATAGGTCAGCTCACTCTCAAGAAGTAAGACATGGAGCAGCTAACGGACTCTGCTGAACAAACTATCTCCGGACCCAACAGTTTCCCCCTCAAGGCTTTAACCAAGAACCCTCAAGGTACGAATCTGAAACTGTCTGAATCAAACTCCCCCGAGCAAACGCTAACTGAACTGTCTCCCACGCAGACTCCAGTGAACCAGTTCCCCAGGCCTGAACCAGAACCAGTGATTAACTCTGTGCTTGTGACAATAAACATTGTTAAACCTTTTACTTCTGTTTCCATCTCCGTGGTGTTCTGCATAACTGGGTCTCACTAGTGAACCCATCATGACATCTACCAGGTATGGTTTAATCATTAGTCACTGTAAGGTAGTCAGGTAGCCCCGTGATGAAGCAGAGCATGCAAAGGGGTCTGGTTGAAGCCAGATGTACCCAATCCTTCACCAGAAAAAGGTTGAAACTCACACTGTCACACAAAAACACACACCCAGACAGTAAAAACCTAGTGGCATTTTGGGATCAGTTATAACTGTAGGATTTTAAAGTAGTTGTAAAAAAGGATTTGTGATAATGCTCCTTTGTTTACTTTGAGTGCACAAGTCCTTCATTGAAGGAGCCCTCCATTTCTGTACTATTTCATCCTGGGGTGCAAGTAATTGTCCAACAGTGATGATAGTTTTGCTAAAGTATTAAGAAGATGGTGTGGGGCACTGGTCATCTCACAACTTTGACTTTTAGCAAAAATATATATTTGCATGCATTGCCTATATCCAGTGGTCATTAGAGAAAAGAGAGTGTACAGCTTAGACCAGGGGTGGGAAATTCAACTTCATGAGGGTTGGTTTCCTGCAGTGTCCAGAGGTGTCCTTGGTCCAATACACCTGAATTAAGTAATTAGATGATTCAGAACTCCGGAGAAATTGACTAAATGCAGAAGAAGTATTTCAGCCATTTGATTAAGTTGTTTTGGACCAAGACCAAATCTAAAAGTTGCAGGATATGGGCACTTGAGGACTCGGCTTGCATTACCCTGGATGTTTCAGGGAGACAGAAACAGTGCTGCTCAAGCAAAGTTGTCAACATAAAGCAATCAAAAATTCCCAGCAAAATATGTTCTCCTTTATTATTTTGGTGCTTGCAGTTTGTACCAGGTAGAAAAATGCTAACATTTCCTTTTAGCTGCCACAAACAGTCATGGTCCCCAAGAGATGACAGCTTGAGGCAGCTTTTGCTGGACATTCCCAGTGACAGCGCACCACTAGTATGCTGGGGTCCGGAAAAATATATTTCAGGGCAGGATCATTGATTGCACAGAAAATGTTTTGAGGTGTACTTTCTCACTTAAAAAAATACTAAAACAACCTTTTACCCAGGTATCTCACCAAATATGGCAAAGCCATTCTGCCATAGAACATAGGAGCAGCAGAAGCTTCAAATACAGGTGCTGGTCATAAAATTAGAATATCATGAAAAAGTAGATTGATTTCAGTAATTCCATTTAAAAAGTGAAACTTGTATATTATATTCATACATTACATACAAACTCATATATTTCAGATGTTTATTTTGTTTAATTTTGATGATTACAAATGACAACAAATGAAAATCTCAAATTCATCATATCAGAAAATTAGAATATTGTGAAAAGGTTCAAAATTGATGGCCCCTGGTGCCACACTCTAATCAGCTAATTAACTCAAACCACCTGCAAAAGCCTTTAAATGGTCTTTCAGTCTAGTTCTATAGGCTACACAATCATGGGGAAGACTGCTGACTTGACAGTTGTCCAAAAGACGACCATCGACACCTTGCACAAGGAGGGCAAGACACAAAAGGTCATCGCTAAAGAGGCTGGCTGTTCACAGAGCTCAGTGTCCAAGCACATTAATAGAGAGGCGAAGGGAAGGAAAAGATGTGGTCGAAAAAAGTGTACAAGCAAGAGAGATAACCGCACCCTGGAGAGGATTGTGAAACAAAACCCCTTCAAAAATGTGGGGGAGATTCACAAAGAGTGGACTGCAGCTGGAGTGAGTGCTTCAAGAACCACCACACA